AAAATTGTGACTCTAGTTACTTTGTATATTTACTCTTATAATACTGTAAATTAACATATGTATATTTCTCATCACAGAGTATGATTTGGTTATTCTCCAGAAATCTCTTTGTTATCTATAAGACAACTAATTTTTTTAATCCTTACATGTATGTTACATGTAGGCAATTGAGTAGAATTTATTACGAGTACTAAAGTCAACCAAGCAAACAGCAATAAGCGGGCCTTTCAAAATCCTTTCACTGCAAGAGTCATTTCTGTTCGGATCCCTTACAATGCCTATTTAAAGACTGTGATTGATTTTGGTAAAAGAAACAGTGTGCAAATAATAAATGAAAGAAAAAATGTGTATAGACACAGATAATAAAAAAGTATAATTATACCAGAGTGTAATTATTTCATTGACTTCCCCCCAAAGTAATTGTATTCTTTTTTTTCTTCTTCCTATGGAGTCACTACAAATTGATCTTGCAAGTGACACCACATTACACAAAACTATCTGTGAAAAGAAGAAAAAGTTTAGGGAATCTGCCTTTTATGATCATGAAATAGCTCTTTTCAAATAACTATTGACAAAGCCACCAAATCCAAACTGGCCAAATGAATTGTGTTGTGTGATATGAAGCAGGTAATTCACTGACAGCCCTACTTGACTATCGTTTCATTCTTGCCCCTAAAACTTGATTGCTTGATAATCAGCATTTCTGACACTTTCCTGAGAAAAAATAACATTGTATCAAGAAAAAGAAGGAATGCACGCCTACCATTGAATGTGCTAATTTAATGTTCTGTTCAAAAGGAGAGAGAGAGAGAGAGAGAGAGAGAGAGAGAGAGAGAGAATGTTTTTTTCCATGGTTGTAGGGAAGAAAATCAAGCCTGATGTTCATAACTTCCTACATACATTTTCACTGCAGTTAAGTTCCCACTCAGGCAAAGGTAAATTAAGATCTTTTAACCACTTTTGCTCTCCTTTCTTGACAAAAAGACATGCAAAAGCTGAGTTAAGATCTCCTGGAGTTTTAGAAAGCAGAAACAGTCTCTTTATATACAATTAAAGGTATTTCTGAAATAGCAATCTATCATGAAAGTCACTATCAAAGTGACTATTGTACTATTATGGATATTACTAAATTTACTAAATAGAAATTATTCAAAATAAAGAATAATTACTGGATAAATTAGAAAACCATAGCAATGTAAGTTTGTAAATAGTCTAGGAAGAAATGATAAATAAGGTTTCAGAATACATGTTTTAATTTGTAGATAAGGGTAGGGCAAATTAAGATAGAAAAATAAATTATGCACTAATGAAACTTGACAATGATATTTCACAGGCTTTGCAAGTCTCCACAGCAAAGGGGTCACCAAACTGATTTAAAGTGCGTTGGAGAAGAACTGATAAGCACATCCTGGTGAGATAAGATGGACTTTAGAAAGATAGAAGGTAAAATGGATGATACAAAAGAGAACAATGATTATGCAAATAAATATGCTCAATATAATGTTGGATTTTTAGAGTAAAATGAAATCTTGGGGGGACATTACAGCAAAACTATCATTCATTATATACTATTTACTGTACTAGGCCTTGTTGATAAAATGTTGGCAAAAGAGAACCAGCACTCACTATTTATTGTCCAGTGAGAGGAGAAAGTAAATAAATGATCACAGAAATAAACAGTCATGCTTAGAAACACATATTGTCTATGAAATAAAGGAAACTGGCACTCTGAGATCAAAGGGACTTATTTTAGTTAAAGGATAATGGAAAAAAAAATTTTTTTTTGAGAATTGATTTGTAAGCCAAAACCTTATGGATGAGTATGAATTAGCTAGGCAAAATAATTTTGAGCATGCAGTAGAGGGAGCTGAGCAATGGAGATGTCTACTTCAAGCAAAGAAACCTAAAAGACCTAACTCTGCCTTGGTGGCTGGCTAACTTTGAGAAAGTAGAAAATCTTTCCTAATTTTACTTTCCTTGAAGGCAAACTATACTTAAAAATCCTCTTTCCTCACTTTACGTAAGGAAAATAAACATCTCATAAACATAAACTATTATATTCATTTAAGTTATAGATTACCATTAATTTTTTTAATTCTCTTAATAGAAAGATGCAAACAAGACCTTTTAAAGCAAATCAATTAAAATTAAATCTAACTCATTTGAATACAGAATAATGTTATGCAAATTCCTGACCAATCTAATGTTTTTTCACCAATCTAAGAATCTTTCAGGAAGATTGAACCAAAATTCTTATATCAAGCAATAAGAAAAAGAAACCAGAATTTTAAAATTCATTGTTATAAATGTAAGTTGATACAATTATTTTTAGCTATATTTATTTTCAGAATGTTTTATCTCTTCATAGACGTCTATGCTGGGTAGATTCTAAAACGGCCCCAATAACTTTCATTTCCTAGAATTATCTAGAATTCATGCCTTTGTGTAATACACTCCCTTTGAATATGACCTACTTCTGACTAATAGAACATGACAAAAATGATCAGCTATCACTTCCATGATTAGGTTACTGTGAGAAAATAAAACTATCCCGGATTTCTCAATGTTCAGGTAAAAAGCTCTTAGCCTCCTAGTAACATGTTAACATACCAGGAGAATTTTATCTATAGCCATTTGTTTACTTAATTGCTCTAATTCAAAAGAATAGTAGAATATCTCTTATCTCCTTAAGGGGCTGAATGGTTATAGCTAGGAGCAAATTTTTAGGTTAAGTCTATAAGGTTCCTGGAAAGAGTGAAAGGCTACTGTAGGGAGGATTTGCATTTCAATGAGGAATCAAATCCAAGATCTCGGAGACCCCTCTAGGTTGTAGACTAGACACAAGCGTTATCTGTTTCCTAAAGAAATTTTATTCTCAGAACACAGGGCTGAAGGAAGGAATACATCCTTCCAAGAATGTAAAGGAGAGAGGAAGAGAAGGTGCATCCTTGCCATTTATAGTACAAAACAATTATTTTTCCTATCATGTCAATACATGGGTATGGGTAGACTCAAGCTCTTCTTCCCTTAGGAAAATTGATGTGACTGTCATCTTGTAATCCCAGGGATAAGGAAGGACTAGGACACATGGGTGCCAATGATATTATTTTCTGTGAACTATTTAATAAGATTTTTAAAGTAAGACATTATTCTCCTAAGAGATAGATTCTTTAATTCATTTTTAAAAATCATCAACCTACAGTACACAATTCACATTGTATAATAATGTATATGAGAATACTTTCACTAATAAAATTATTCAATATCTGTACTTTAGATACAACTTGTGTGCATTTAGGATGAAAACAAGAAAGATGAATATTAAAAACCCAACAGTTATTTTTCTTGGCTGCACATTTTGATGAAGAAGGTGCTGTATTGGAGAAACCTATGTAGCTAGCAAGAGAAGGAAGTCTTCCTGCCAAAGCCAGCTGAGGATTGAGACCCACAGCCCAACAAACTGCAAGAAAATGAATTTTGTCAAAACAATAGAGCTTAGAAGCAGACATTCGACTCAGTCCTTTAGCTGAGACCCCAGCCTTGGCCAACACTTTGACTCCAGCTTTATTGAAAGATCTTGAATCAGAGGATGCAGCCAAGCATGACCAGATTCCTGACCCACAGGCATGGTGAGATAATAACTATGTTTTTTTAAAAAACAATTAAGTCTGTGATAATTCCTGACAAAGCTGTAGAGAGCTAATACAATTACCTCAAAATCTAAAGTACAGACATTGAATAATTTCATTAGTGAAAGTGTTCTAATGTACATTGTTATACAATGTGAGTTGTATACTGTAGATTGACAATTTTTAAAAATAAATTAAGGAATCTATCTCTTAGGAGAATAATTTCCCACTTTAAAATCATGTTTCTATGAAATATAAGGTTTTGCTAAGATCATTTGTAAATGAAAATCAATCTGAAAAATAATGTTTCAGAGACAAGGTAATTAGAAAAATTTTGAAAAACACTAACTGAAACACACCTTACTTTTTTTTAAAAAAAATCACTATTTTTTAATGTAGTCCCAAATTTAGTGAGGTCAGAATATCTCCTCAATGATTTTTATTTTATGAATAACATAAATAATAAATGTCTTCAGTTAAACTAAAAGAATATATGAATGCATGAAATAGCTAAAGAATTATTAGAACAATGTGAAGTGAAAAGAGGTAAAATCCCACTAGTAAATTTAGCATATCTGTCCAGTTTTTGATCAAGCAAGAACAGTCCACATATTGCTTAAAGGCATTCATGTATGCCCCAGGCATACACAATGCGTGCTATTTCACAGCTTGGAAGAAAAATAAAAACTGTCACTAGGAAGAACGCCACTAGCAAAAGGAAAATAAAAGAAAAATAAGCCTTTATAAAATATAAATTACACTGTTTTCAAGCTCCTTGTGTGATTTCATTACACAAAATATGAAATAGCTAGAGAAAAAAATATATCAGCTTAAAATTCTTGCCAAATAAATGTGTGCATAAATAAAGTATCAATTTATAAATATGTTGTTTTTTATAATAGATTACAGATTATAGATTATATTTGAAGAGATTATTTTTATTGTACAAATGTACTATTGAGCATGAAGAAAACCAAGCATGAAAAGCAGATAAAAATACAGAGGATATTGAGAAATACGTTTGAACTTATCTAAAATATTTTTACTTTTTATTATCAGTTAATACAAAGATAAATATATTTATATGGCCAGGAGTGGTGGCTCATGCCTGTAATCCTAGCACTCTGGGAGCTGAGGTGGGAGGATTGCACAAGGTCAGGAGTTTGACACCAGCCTGAGCAAGACTGAGACCCTCTCTCTACTAAAAATAGAAAGAAATAAATTGGCCAACTAAAAATATATAGAAAAAATTAGCTGGGCATGGTGGTGCATGCCTGTAGTCCCAGCTACTTGGGAGGCTGAGGCAGAAGGATTGCTTGAGCCCAGGAGTTTGAGGTTGCTGTGAGCTAGGCTGATGCCATGACACTCTAGCCTGGACAACAGAGTGAGACTCTGTAAAAAAAAAAATATATATATATATATATATTTATTTATATGAACATGAAACATTACAATAGAAATATTAAGTAATATATAAATTGTATCTTTTCAAGATGACTGTTTGCTTTATGCAATTTTGTGCTGGAAGTATCCTATATATATATATATCAAAAATCAAAGCTATAGACTCTAATCCAAAATGGTAGTTAGAGAAAGAAAGAAAAATATTTATGGCTTGCTTACTTATTTATAGGAGAAAATAATAGCACACTTTTTGAGAAATACCAATAAAAGAATACATGGTTTAAAAACCACATCTAATCTTTCCTTTATTCACATCATTTCAAGACGGAAAGCAACTGAAAGTAAACTTTGCTGATCTTTAAACAACCGAAGGTGCTCGAGATGTTTTTGTTACCTACGTGAAGGTACTCTTTTCCATTGTACGCAAACAGTATCTTCATACATCCATAAGATATTTCCATTTAAAAAATTAGGAAAAATAATTACTTCTTATATGTGGCTTAAGCAAGGAAGTGACATTAACTAATTTTTGTTACTAAAGGTAACTTGCATATATGTGCAGAATGGATTGGACAGGGACAAAAAATAGCAGGACATGTATTAGGTAGGAGTTTACTGGTGAGGTTTAGGGGAAAGCAAAAATATGTTGGGATTGGTAAGAGACAAAGCAAGAGAGAAGGAACAGGAATCACGACATATAATATAGACGATAAAACCAGCCAGACTTTTGCTATGGAGAGTGATAAACAAGGACAAATTAAGGCTGACTTCTTGGTCTTTGGCTTGAGCAAATAGGAGGATGCTAGTGACATTTACTGAGACTGGAATCATTGATAAAGGAATTGGATTTTGTTTCTTGATTGGTGTGGCAAACTGTATTTTCCAGAAATGTCTGTACCAACATGACTTCCAGAATCTCACAATGCCCCATCTAGAGGCACATCCTCTCCTTTGAATCCAGTTGGATTATCATGACTGCATTGAGAAATAGAATGCAATGTGCAATGAAAAGGATGCTGTGTGATTTCAGAGGTGAGGTCATAAAAGGCAGTCTCCCTCACAGGAGGTTCACCCTTGTAAGCCAGCCATCCAGTTGTATGGAAGCTAAGGCTATATGACAAGAATTGCATAGGTGTTCAAACCAACAGCCCAAGTTCAGGTCTTACCCAAAAGCCAATATCAACTAAATGATATGAGAGTGAATGAGCCTTCAGATGATTCCAGACATTAGTCTTTAGAGTGATCCTAGCTGACAGTAAGTGCAGCAGAGACAAGTTCTCACTACTACACCTGCCTAGTGTACATACTTATAAGTAAAATATATGTCATCATGCTTGAAACCCAAGTTTGGTGTTGAGTTGTTATTCAGCCATACTTGAACAGTTGGTTGGTTAGTGTTTTTGTTATTATTGTTGTGTGTGTATGCATGAACATGCACACACACGTACATATGCTTTGGGGAGAAAGCTGTTCATGCATCTGACCAAAAGTTCAGTTTTGAACATGGGCATGAGAGATATACATATTGGTCATATATACACATGATATACATATCACAGATACATGTCAAGTATGCAGTAGGATATATGAGTTTGAGTTCAAAGGAATACTTTAGTATAGAAAGATAAATATACAATATATTGGTACAGATTATAAATAGAATTGCCCAGAGATATAGTGCAGAAAAGTACATTTTTAAAAGTAGTTTTAAAAGGCTACATAGTCTTGTTAAGTCATCAAAGTCAATATTATGGTCTTCAAATAATCAGGCCTCAGATGTTAGGTATTGGCACTCAATATATTTCTGCATTGAGAAATAATATAACAATAAGAATAATAACAGAGATCATTTATTTAGTTTACTATATGCCAAGTATAGTACTATAGAGGTAAGCTACACAAATATGTGATCTATTTTGTCATCAGATCAAACCCATGAAGGTTTTGATTTTTAATTTCCCTCACTTATGAGATGTAGAAATTAAGTCTGTGTGAGGATAATAAACAATCATTGTCACGTAATCAGTTATTGATAAAATCTTAGTTTTAGTTTAATTCTGTGTGACTCCAGCTTTTTTCTTACAAAAGTTTTCACATGTTCATAGCTGAAATGGATTTACTATGGCCTATTGATGCATATGTTTTGCCACATAATTTTCACACATTTCATGTTACTACAAAATGTTAAAAACAAAAAGAAAGTATTTTTAGAATTTTTTATAGCCCTTAACTTGTTCAGACTATACTACATTTTCATATTCTCTCAATTTGAAACTTGAATTCCCTTAATGACTGATGGTTTTCTTTAATTTTGAAACAATACCTTTAGGGAAGTTTGGAATATATAGGCATTTCTTAATAATAAACAAAAATAACACTATCACTTCTATCTTGACATTATATTGCATTTTTTATTACTTGTTTAAAGGACAAAATGTAATTTTATATGCTGTAAACCTGGGAGTTTAACAGTGACAGAAATTATTAAAAAATGGAGAGAAATATAATGCTCTGAAATAGGGCAAACTTTAATTTACAGTCCGAAACAGAGGTGACAAATTTGATACTCAAATACATCAACTCCATAATCTCTATTGTGTTAGTTTTTACTAACACAGAGATTTTAAACAAACAAACAAACAAACAAAAAACCCACAAGAAATAAAGCATCTATACTTTGCACATCCTTTCAAAGAATTCAATTTCCAATCATATTGAAAGAGTGACAAGTCTGAAAATTTTGAGAGTTTATCTCTCTTTCCACTGCTGATCCACCAAAGCTGCCAAGGAATCATGAAACAATAAATGCTTTTAAAATGCACAATTTCTTTTTATTCATTTATTTATTTCTAAATTCCAACATCCTATTCTGACCAGTGGTCAGTTTTAAGAATTTTTAGGCTCTTCCGACATGTAAACATAACGCTTACTGACATTTTGATAACAATCAATTTTTGCTTTTCTGGTTCAACATTTTTAAGCATTTTACCCCTCCTTATAAGGAATTATCAAGGGCTGACCTATGAAATCAGCTTCAAGGGAAAAGGATTCAAGCCTCCTGAGTTTGACTTTAAGTCCAAGCCACTCAACAATTTCTATTGCTCTTCAATAGCTCTGAAGAGTCAAAAATCTTACTTTTATATAAGTTAATGTCTCTGTGCCTGAAAAATATTTAGATTTCCAATTACAGTTTCGTTGAGTTCTGCATTTTACTCTTCAAATTTTGATTTAATGACAATAACACAAATATAGGTAAATATACTTAATTGTATTTTTCAGGGAAAATTTTTTGTAATTACTATTTTATTATCATATATAAATGAATAACATTGTCTAATTCTAAATTAATTCCATGGAATTGGATAAAACTGACTAAGCTAAAATTTTGGAGAGAAGCTTCATAATCCCAAGCTGCTTTGCAATATCTCTAAAACCAGCTATCTCTGAAAGAGAATATGTGAATTTGGTTCTTAAAATTTTAGTTGGACATATTCAGATCTCAACTGGAGCAGGATGGAACTGAACCAATAGATCCCATAAGAGCAATGATGACTTGACCAATTCCCCATCCATGTGACCCACATTGTCTGGCAATACCGTGACTCTGCAATACAACATGATGTTAGAAATTATGGATTTTGGAGTTGGCCAGACTTGGTTTTCTGAGTCATTCCTTCAACTTTATAATTTCATGCCTTTAAGACAAATTACTTACCCTCAACCACCAACACTTGGAATTTTGTGTTGATTTGGAATCATTTCCCCAGATTCTTGATATGAAGTCAATCAGCAAATCCTCTTCCTTCTTCACTAGGAATGTCTCCTGAATTTTTCCCTTCCTATATATGAAAATTCCTCTGTAACTGCACTTGTCAAGGCTCTTATCACGACAAGTGCAGATTGCTTCTGGAGGTCCCCAAACAGTATCTTTCTATGTGGTAGATTTGGTCCTCATTCCCAGTTATTCACTCCCTCCCCGAATCACCATTATACTGCCACGCTTTGCCATATGACATTGTTGTACCACTAGAATGGCCAGGGCATGTTTTCTCATCCCATTGACACCGAGCTTGACCAATGAAATGTGGGAGGAAATAACAGTACTTACTTCTGCACCAAGGCTTTGAGAGTCAGCAGTTGTTTCTTCTTGTGCTTGTGTCATTGCCATCAGAAAAAAATGTCCCTGGTAGAACTTGGTCCCCAAATGAGACACTTGTAGGGCAGACTTGAACCCAATCTGCAATCGATAGGGAGCCCAGAGGATTTACAATTGGAAGGCAAGCTGCCTCGGCTGATCTACAAAACTATGAAAGAGAAGTTATAAATGTTTGTTGTGAGCCACTGATACTTTAAGGCTCTTTGTTATATAACAAAAACTGACTAATATTCTACCTTTAGGCCTTCTTTCCTCTGACAGACAGAATGCACCCCTGCCAGTTTTAACCTCCTATAATACTACTGGAACTCTCCCTTTTACTGCCCAAATGCTTTATTGTTCCCAACCACCTAATGAAAATTCCAAACGTTTTAACCTGATCGTTCACAACCTAGCTACTACTTACCTTTCCTGACTTACGTTCAAATACATCTAAAATTGAACCTATCCATTTCAGCACACTGGTGCATTCATTGTTCCAATAGCATTTATCATTTGTTTCTCGGTCTACCCTATAGCTCATGACTCACTTTCTTTGTTAAAGTGCCCTCCCCATCCTCTCTCTTGAGCAATAAATACTTTAAAGTTTTAAAAATATTTAGAAAAGTTGCTTCTTGTTCAGGAACATCAAAGGGATTTTGTGACTTTGTGGTAGTATTAGGCTGTTAACATTTGTATAAGAACAAAGTTAAGTTATTATCCTCCTTGCCTCTAAAATTCTGTAAGCTACAAATGCTGAGTGACCTTCTAATATTGTTTAAATACTTCCCACACACATTGCATATTTAGGCTGCCCCAGGAATACACCATTGTTTTAATTGTGCTTGCCAAATTATGTAAATATTTGAAAAGAAATAACATGGCTCTATATCTCAAGAGAAAGCAGAAATAACTCAGAAGATGAAGACTATACATTTAATCTTAGTCTTGAAGATAATGTAATATCATTTGTCCATTTGGACAAATATTTCTAAATATTTTTGTTCATGTTGTCTCTTAGTGTTTGGATCCATTCTTGATACTCTCAGACCACCTAACACTCACTGCATATCTAAATTGTTTCTTCCAAATCTCAAAGACTTACCCAACTTCTCCACTCATGAGTATTCTCTCCTATAAAATTTCCTCTGTTTTTAGCATGTTCTTTTTGTATTCTACCTTTTACATAAATTTACTGTTTGTATTGATATATCCAGATCTCCCAGTTGGACATTAACCCTTGAGGAGTCAAATTAGTCCTTTGTAACTCCAAAACCTAAATGGTATCTTACATACTGTAAGCAGAATGGTAGAGGAGAAAGAGCACAAGATTTGCACCCATAAAATTCTTAAGGGCATGGCTCACGCCTGTAATCCTAGCACTTTGGGAGGCCAAGGCGGGCGGATTGCTCAAGGTCAGGAGTTCGAAACCAGCCTGAGCGAGACCCCGTCTCTACCAAAAATAGAAATAAATTAATTGACCAACGAAAAATATATATACAAAAAAAAATTAGCCGGGCATGGTGGCGCATGCCTGTAGTCCCAGCTACTCGGGAGGCTGAGGCAGTAGGATTGCTTGAGCCCCAGAGATTGAGGTTGCTGTGAGCCAGGCTGACGCCACGGCACTCACTCTAGCCTGGGGAACAAAGTGAGACTCTGTCTCAAAAAAAAAAAAAAAAATCCTATGGGCAAAATGTGACTTTAGCAATCACCAGCTATCATAATGCAAGTTATTAAACTCTACCACTCTAGATTAATCTTATTTGAAAGGGTGAAAAACGGGAGGAGTGGCAATGCAGGTACTCCTGCAGGTAACAAATTCAGAGCGAAGTATTTGCCTAACAGCTCTTATAATAGTTACCAATCCCACTTCACTTACCTCAAACTTTAAAATGTATGAAGGTTTCCACAAGAGAGGTCTGGTATGTTCTAGAAGCCCCCATATCTACCAAGTTGCTCCAAATTGTGATTCAAATCTATTATTTTGTCATTTTTCAAAATTCTTTTCACCTGAATTTCAGTTCCCTCAACTTCTATCTCTAGCAAACCCAATCAGAAATCAAAGAATTCAGACTGCAATGTCCCTAGAAATGCAGAACAGATAACTTGCCACCAGAGCACAGAGCTATGCTATATATCTTCCAGACTTAGAGAATGAAATACATGCTCAATTGGGAAAAAAAAAAAACTGGAAGGGAAATGAGTGTACCATTTTTTAAAATTTTAATTTAGATGTTCTTTCCTAGCACAGATTAGAATTGACAAAAGTTATATTTTATCTAACTAGGTAACAGCCTGAGAGTCCAATTTAAAGACAGCTGCTTTAAGAATGCTTTGTTGAATTTTGAAACTCTGAAATTCATAGTGTGATGCCACAGTGGAGATTTGATATCTCAGATTGCCTGCTGGGCACTCAATAAATATATGACAACAATTGATTAAACTACAGATGTGATTTAATGATTAAATACCATACACCTCTTATGCCATATCAGTAACAAACAGCTGTTTAGTAACTTTCTCAAAAACCACTAATTTTAGCATCAACATTATGACCACAGAATATGTGTCATTTTCTGAAAATCTGATGTTAGGTTTTCAGTGTAAAAATGGAATCTGACTAATAGTCTTTGATCCAAATTTTCAACTTCCCCCTTGATGCCCATAAATGCAGAGGAGAAAATAATTTCACATAATAATGTTAAAACCAAGTCACTAAACTCACTGCCAAAATTAAAGAGGAACCTAAAGTAATCAAATCCATGGAGCTTCATTGGTAAATTCAATTAATTAAACCACATTTGTGGCTCTATCATGCGAAACAAAACGAATTTGCTGTTCTTGGAAGTGGCTCCAATCAACAATCAATTTCTTGATCAGAAGGCAGCAGAGCTGTACTCATCAGCACAGACACATTTTGGTGTTGGCCAGAACACCTCATAGCCATTTCCTATTATATAATTAAATATGAAATGTCCAATTTTGAATCAAAATTGTAATTTATTATATCTCAAACAAGAAGAAGTACAAATAATGGAGGTATGAGCCTAAACTGTCAACACAGTTTTGCCATCTTAACAGTAGCTTGTCTATGCCAGAAACAAAGAAGACTGGAGAACAAGTGACAATAAAATAATGAAATGTATTTTCCACAGCTTGTTGAGAATTGAATATTTTTCCTTGAAAGAAGTGGTCAAAAGCCTAGAAGAAATGGTAGTCAGTTGGTGCAAGGTCTGGTGAATAAGGTGGATGACAGAGATTTTCCAAGTCTAGCTTCTGTAGTTTGAGAAGCAATTTGTGTGCAACATCAAGTAATGTCATGCAAGAAGATTGGCCTGTCTCTATTGACCTATCTCAGAAGCTTAATTACAAGCATCCTTTTCATTTTGTCCAGTTGGTTGTGGTAGACATCCACTATAATCAAATGACCAGGTTTCATGAAGCTATAGTGGATAATACCAGCACTGGACCACCAAACAGATACCATTAACTTTTTATGATGAATATTTATTTGGTTTTGGACTGTGTTTCAGCACTTCATCTTTATTCAACCATTGTGTCAAACACTTGCAATTGTCAAAAATAATCTATTTTGCTTCACATTTAACAATCCAATGTAAAAATGGTTCACTTTATGTCATGACAGCAGAGAAAGGCAAGCTTCCATCTCTTCTGATGCTCATTTAATTCACGTGGAACCCATCTATCCAGCTTCCTCACCTTGCCAATTTGTTTCAAATGGTCCAATAATGTTTGCATAGTAATGTCAAACCTTGCTGCTAATTCACCTATAGATTGAGATGGATTCGCTTCCACTACAGCTTTCAGCTCATCATTATCCACGTTGGTCTCAGGTTGCCTACATGGCTCGTTTTCAAGATTAAAATCACCAGAACAGATCATCTCAAACCATGCCTGTATTCATTAGCCACATCCTTCCCAAACACTTCATCAATATTTTGAGCTATCTGCACTGCGTTAGTTCCACAATGGAACTCATATGCGAAAATAACACGAATTTTTGACTTATCCATTGTTTCACAAAATTCGCTCTAAAAAAACTTTGAAAGATAATCACAAGCCAAAATATACATTTGAAAGATTGAGGATGTACCTTCACAATAAACATAAAACAAGAAGTATCAAAGGGAAATGTCAGAGATATCAACTGTCAAACTTAGTACTTAAGGAAATCAGACATTTCATACTTAATAATCTAAATGTTATCATAATTTTACTATCTATATTTATTTGGAAGCTTTCATTCTAGGTCAACATCATATAGGAAATTACAGGGCACAATACCTCCTAGGCAGCATCGTTCCCAAAAAGTAAAGCAATATAGCTGAGAGAAGAAGAGGGCTAAAAAAAGGAAAAGAAAAGAAACAAAAGGCTATCTATTCTGAAGATTTATGTTTGCCACATATTCAGTTGGTTTAAGTCAACTAACCTGAAAAGGAGACAAGGAAAGACATAGCCTCTGTCCATTAACACCAATTGAAATGTGTACATGTCATGTATGCTAGAAATTGTCTTAGAATTTGTGTAATGCAACCTGATTCCTAGTCATAGCAATGTGATGGCAAATCTACCAAAAACACAAAGAAAAGTAAGCAAAACTATAATCACACACATGCTTCCTGTGTGCAAATGTCAGTTCTAAACAACAATAGTTCAAAAATAAACAAATTTGGGGACACTGTCCCAAAGCTCTTGCACTACAGATTAAAAAAGACGACCATCCTGAAACTCAAAAGTTTTTATATTAGAAAGAGATGTTATAGTTTAACCTTAAGAAATGTTAGCAAACTTTCCAAATTGTCCTCAATAGGTTTTAAGGAGAGCTGACTGCTATGTAATAGAAGCTGGAAGCAGGAAGAATAATACACAGGGGAAAGCCAACATGTGAGATTCAAAGACGCTAGTCTGGACTGAAATGATAGTTGTTTGCCTTGAGGAAGGATATGAAAACTAAATCTTAAAATACCCATGGAGGCAGTAAGAAAATTATTGACAGGAAATCATCATCAAAGATTTGGAGTAGAAAACACAGAAAATATAGACAAGGAAAAAAAATCCTAGAAGATATGAGAACTATGAAAGTCAGAGAAATGGAAATCTGATATAAAAAGTGTGTTTATGAGGAAAGAGCCAGAAATATTGAATGGA